TTTTATTTTATAATTTAAAATAATTTAAATTAAAAATATATATTTAAAATTAATTTATACATATATAATTTAAAATTAATCTTCTTCTAATAAATTTTAAAGTCATCATCCATCACAATAATGTTGACATTCTATTTTATTTTTATAGCATTAATTAGTTCGACATTTCTATAAAGTCTCGACTCCTCCTTCCATTAATGTATTTTCATTTCAAATTTTAGTAATAACAAAAAAAAAAAAAAACCTAACGTCGTCACCATCATCGCCGGCGTGTTATCTAAGCAAAAAGACAAACTAAAAAACCCAATCTCTTCGGATATCTGCAATCTCCTCCATATATACTTCTTTTGTCGGCATTTCCGATTGCGGTTGCTTGCTAGGTGCTACCGAGAATAGGGAGAGCGAGGAGATGAAGGAACAGGTGTTCGATGAGGAGGCGGCCAGGTCGCTGGTGAAGGAACTCAGAGTCAACTTTGCAGCCGGCAAGACTCGGAGCTATGACTGGAGAGTGGCTCAGTTGAAGAGCATGATCAAGATGATGGAAGATCACGAACCGGAGATCGTAGCCGCTCTCCGCGAAGATCTCTCCAAGCCTGAAATGGAGTCTTCCATCTACGAGGTCACAATCCTTTCTTCTTATTCATGTTTGTGTATTTGTAAATCGATTCCAGCTCTCCGTGCCCTGTTTTCTTGCAATTCTTTTGCGAGCGCTTAATGTTTTTTGGTACATCTAATGGACTATACAAGGGGAAAAGCCCTCCTCTTTTCCTTAATCTCTCCAACCCGACTAAAGGTTCTAACTGCGTTACATGTTTGTTTGGTTTTGATTCGGTTTTTATGAGTTTTCGGAAGGATTTACTGCAGAGCCAATCTCCGACTGCAATTGAGTTATCTTCAATTAATGCTGATTATCTTTCCTCCCTTCAGTACATTAGAATACTGATTTCTGTCGGCATTAATGTCTGTTCAAGGTTGACCATGTTGAATTAAATTTTTTTTTTGGGAAATTGGGATTACCAAGTAGCAAGGCTGCGACTTTTTTGCTTGGTGAAGAGATTTAAGATTTTGTTCACGAAATTTGTGTGGGATGTGAAATGGGTGTGATAGGGCGTTTTAGTATATTATCTACCAGAAGTAGAAGAATAGAATTTATGACTGTGGTACCCAAATGCATGATACCAGTTGGTTGCTGCCTTACTGGATAGAGAAACTTCAACCACAGGTTTCTTCAGCACATAGCTCACTGAAATTGTCAGTTGTCATTTAATCAATTTTTGTATGCAACATTAAGATTCTTATACCTGAAACGGATAGATGTCAAACTTTCGTTGGTGGATGCAGTACTACTGTACTAGACTGAAGAATAATGATAGATGGAAGGAGCATTAATTACAAGCCAACTTTGTTTTCCCTAAAAAAAATTTGTGGGTTTCTGACAAAAAGAGAGCACCAAAGAGAACAAAATATTGCGGCTATCATCAACTATTAGTAGCATGTAGCAGAAATAAAATTTTGCGTACATTGTGATAGTTTTATTATAAAATGAAAATTTTCTAGTCTTACATTTAGGTGACTATTTTAGTTTTTCTGGTGTGTGTATGTTAAACCTGTTTGTTAGTTTTTAAAGACCGCACTACATGGGAAACTGAAAAGATAAGAAGCTAACAACTTTAAAACTATATTTATTTTGCATTCTTGAGTTCAACATGCACTGTTTAACCGTCCTTTGTATAGAAATTCCACATTAACTTGTATATTTCATCCTCTTCTAATGTTGAAATGGTATACCATGCAGATAGCTCTTTTAAAGAACTCATGTGTTTTGGCACTAAAGGAATTGAAACACTGGATGATGCCGGACAAGGTAAAATTTTTTTGTATATCTCCACTTGATGGAGGCTTAATTGATGCACAGTTTTCACATTAACTGAGTTGAACGCAATTCAATAAATTGTCCTTCATTGCAGGTTAAAACATCAATCACAACATTTCCTTCATCTGCTGAAATAGTGTCTGAACCTTTGGGCGTTGTGCTTGTAATGTCAGCATGGAATTATCCCTTTTGTATGTTAAGTTTCTGGTGGACATAGTTATAATTTTGTATTTGTATTGGTGTTTTTCATGAAATCTGTGAGAATGATGACTCTAATTTGGTTTCTTTCTTTTTCAGTGTTATCTCTTGATCCAGTTGTTGGAGCTATAGCAGCTGGCAATGCAGTAGTTTTAAAACCATCAGAAGTTGCTCCTGCCACATCCTCCTTGCTTTTAAGACTGGTAGGCCAATGCTTGGATAGCTCTTGCATAAGAGTTGTTGAAGGAGCTGTTCCTGAAACATCGGCCCTACTGCTGCAAAAGTGGGACAAAATATTTTATACAGGTCATTATTTATATCCGTTTAATTTTTTCATGGCCTATCCTCAGATTCTGATTAATAGTATGGTTTGGGATTCTGAGAGAAACAATATAATTGTGATAGGCTATTTTAGTTTGGATTTTTAGTTTCAATTCCAGTGAATTGTTAATCTTGCTTTGTTCATTCAGCAACTAGCTTATCCATTCTTCCAAATATGCATATAGAATAATGTGAAGCAGATTGACTTCAATTTGTAGGCAATGGAAGAATTGGAAGAATTGTGATGTCAGCTGCTGCAAAGCATCTTACACCAGTTGTCTTGGAGCTTGGAGGAAAGTGTCCAGTGATTGTTGACTCAGGCATCAATTTGCAAGTAACCAACTCTGCTTTTCCTTCTGCAACCTGGCATGATGGTCTTTTGGTTCCCACTGCTTTGGCTTTTTTCACTTACGAGCTACTACTTTCTTTCTTTATTTTTTGAAGGTCATGGCTAGGCGGATAATTATGGGCAAGTGGGGATGCAATAACGGACAAGCATGCATATCTCCTGATTACATTATAACAACTATGGATTATGCTCCAAAATTGGTAGGATTGCTGTTATACATCAGAGTACAAAATCTATTTTTGTGAGTTCAGTTTTCTGTGCCTAACTTTTTATCCTCTAGGTAGATGTTTTGAAACATGAACTGGAGCAATTTTATGGAAAGAGTCCTTTGGAATCAAAAGATATCTCTCGCATTGTCAATTCTAATCACTTTGCTCGCTTGACAAATCTGTTAGATGATGAGAAGGTTTCTGGTAAGATCATCCATGGAGGTGAAAGAGACAAAACAAACTTGTGAGTTCTGTGGTGCATTTACCTTTTGTCTCCAAAATGTAATGGCCCTCCTCATATCATTAATTCATATTTCTTATTTCTTCCAATGGCAGGAAGATTGCTCCCACTATCTTGCTTGATGTCCCAAGAGACTCTCTGATCATGAATGAAGAGATATTTGGCCCATTACTTCCAATTCTTATAGTAAGGACCAAAAGGATTAATTGCAGTTAATTTTAATTATTAAGAAATTTAAAAAAAATTTCTCCAAGTACTATTGTTTAATTTTCTTCTCAGAGAATAGAGGACATCTGAGATGATTCCAGTATCAGCAAAATAATTTTGATGGACTCATTCATTTTTTAGTCAGTTGTCTGTTTTGGTAACTTTTTGCTGGAATGATGGCCTCCTGGATTCATTTAAGTATTTTTTACATGGAAGAAGTAGCAATTTATGACCATAGAAAATTTTGCTCAGTAATCTTCTACTTCTTGTAATGAGATATCATGGTCTTCCTTTGATCATATGACAGGTTGACAAAGTGGAAGACAGTTTTAATGTCATAAATTCTTCAGGATCAAAGCCACTTGCAGCATATTTATTCAGTAACAAGAAGGAGCTGAAAGAGCAGTTTGTGAAAACTGTCTCTGCAGGGGGTTTGGTGGTCAATGACACTACTCTACATGTAAGTATACTCGGAACTTGTAGAATGAAAGTTCATGCATCAAGCATGCATATCTGCAAAACAATTGTTGGTGGTCTCTCTGGGGATGGTACAGCAGATATGGATTACAGACCTAAGTGTATTTGAGCATGTATGACTCTGGTAGTGGTCTGGTTGGTGTAGGAAATTTTGGGAGGTTATCAGGCCAAAAATTTCAAAATGTCAGGTGTTTTTTTTTTTTTTTTTTTCTATAAAGATGAGAGAGTTTGGTAAGAATGCAATGCACATTAGAAATGCAATTGAATAAGTCTCAAGACATCTCTTAAAACTTATATAGTGTTTGCCTACTTGAGAATGAATGGCAGCTAAGTCATTTCAGAATGATAGAGCCCAGTCATATCCAGTGAGTTTATTTGATGTTTTAAGCCGCCAATTCCAATGGTCATCTTCATTGTTCTAGTCTGAGCAATAATTGACTTACCTAAGCTCCTTATTTTTACATTTGTATTGAACTGGGAATTTGAATATGCATCTAATAGCACTTTAAACATTGCAGCTTGCTGTGCACACTTTACCTTTTGGAGGTGTTGGGGAGAGTGGAATGGGTGCATACCATGGCAAATTCTCCTTCGATGCTTTTAGCCATAAGAAAGCAGTTCTTTACCGCAGTTTCGTTGGTGATGCACCTTTGAGATACCCACCATATACAAGCAAAAAGCTAAAATTGATGAAAGCTCTTCTTGGTGGTAGTCTATTTGGCATAATCCGTGCTTTGCTGGGATGGTCTTAGGGCTTAAAAGATAATGAATTTGGAAAGTTGTTATTTATGATTGTAACTTAAGATGTATTTATTTTCATTTTCATGAAGGTTGATTGAATTTAAGCATGGAAGTGCAACATGCAGATAAAGTTAATATATTTTTCCCTCTAGTAAATATGGTTCTTCTGCGCCAGGTTTTTTTTTTTTTGGGTATTTTGGTCAAGGTGTTATTTGGACTAATATTTGGGTATTTCAAAACTAATATTCTTTGAATGATGTTAATCTTCTTCATTAACTAGATATATTTTTTAAAAAATAATTTTTTAAAAATACTAACTCTAAAATTTGAACAATGTATCTAACCTATAGAAAAATGTTTATTTATTAGTGAATTCAAGTAGGAACATCTTTTTCTACACCAGTTAATACTCCTACTGCCTTTCATTTTGAAGCACCTACCATAAAGTAGAATTAATGAAGTAGAGGAGAAAGTGGATTTATTGGAAGAATAAAAAATGGGTTTGTCAAGCTTATTTCTGCATCAAATAAAAGAAATCAAGATTTAATGCCTCTTTATGGGCATTGATTTAACAAACACATGGATCAGTACTGTGAGAATTGAGATGACCTAAAATATTTATATTGTTCATTAATTCTTCGACTTCCAATAAGAAAAAAGAGAGTGGTTCCCAACTACTGCCATTAAAAATTGAAGGCTTATGTTGTAGAAAGATTCAAAGAAAGTGACTCTTCAAATTAGAAGTACAGATTTGAAAGCAAATTAAGAATTCCCAAGGGATTTTAGAATGAGTGTTTACTTTTACTATTCAATTGCTCATTTTTAGAAATTGTTATTAGAAAATAAATTTTTATGAATTCTCTAATATTAATATTAATATATAACTTGGTTTTAATAAGATTTAAACATGTGAACTAGGTCTTTAAATTTAATAGTTCGTCCCCATGTTTTAATGTTTAGGTTTAGTTGGTTGAAAATTTGACTTCTACTAATTGTTTAAAAAATTCTTCATTTTTTGATAATTTTTTAATATTAAAAAAAGTAATTTTTTATTTAATGCCAGTACACAAATTTAACATATAAGCTTTTTCTTTAACCCTTTTTTTATGAATCTTCTTTAAATGTTTATATTGAGGTGATGATTCTTCTAAATGATTGGTTAATTTTTACATTAAAAAATGCTCTCTCTCTCTCTTGATATAATGATGTAACAATAATTTGAAGATTTTTCAAGTGTTTACATTGTTTTTTACCTAGTTTCAAGTGTTCACATCGTTTTTTACCTAGTTTCAAGTGTTCACATTATAACATTTCATATATACCCAAAAAAGACCAAAACTTGCGTTGGACCATTTCCTTTAATTGATTATTGATGCAATGACAATTGAATGGAACCATCCTAATAACAAAAATAAAATTCCATTGAAAATGCAAAAAGTCGGGTTTGTCCCTACTTTCACCCCCAATATTCTGAAAATATTAAAGGGTAGCTTTGACAATTCACACCTCATATCTTAGCTCACAAGAACACGGTCGGTACTCGGCTATTCCTTCTTTTCTGAGAAACTTCCAATGGTCAACAGTATTTCATCTTGTTCTTACAATTTCCCCCCAACAAATCATTTATTTCTGTCCAAATAAACACAATTCCCAATTTCCCACCATCAAAATCCTCGTATTCTGTCTGTCCAGATGATTTCTCCCCCCAAATAAAAACAGGGGAAACGGTCAAACAACTCCACTTTGTATTTTACCATAGGCCAGATACAAACTGCGCCAAGTAGTCACGACTCCTTCACCAAATCTTCCCTTCCCAAGACTTGTTAATTAAGCAATGGTGCCTGCCTTCTGATTCCTCCCAAAATCCAAACCTTTTGATTAGATTTTGCTTCAGAGAGATCATATTACCATGGATGCCAACGAAAGCAGAAAACTTTCATTGATGTTGGTCTTGTTCTTTCAGGTGCTGGCTGTAACTCTTCCGGGATGTTTCTTGGTAGCCAGTCAGCAGCTCCCCATCAAGAAACCTGCACTTCAAACTTTGGCTGCGAAGGGTCATGGGTTTAGCTCCTCTCTTGTTTTTCCGGTCACTGGGAATGTCTATCCTCTCGGGTATGCTTTTGATCTTCTCAAGGATGTTCCTTGTAATTGTACCTTGTTTCTGGTTTCCTTGGAGTGCAGATTAGTCCTTTTTGTCTTATTAGTTTGCCTGGATTTGGTTCATCGTGTCTCTTTTATGTAAATTTTCTATTCATTTACATATTTGCAGATCAGAGTTGAATTCCTTTGTGAAATTCTTGCTACGAATTCCCCACGATGCAATCTCATGTATCTTTTCTTTTTTTCTTTTTTTCTTTTTTGTTCTGCCCTTGTTCTCGTTTGATGCAATCTCGTACATCTCCTTTCATTTTTTGGTCCTACACACGTTCTCGTTTGCTTGACAAGTTTGCTGCTTCTTGGGGTTTAGGTGATGGAAATCGCTGAATTAATACTTCCTTGAATATGCAGGTACTTTTCAGTGTCCCTCAGCATAGGCAATCCACCCAAGCCTTTTACCCTTGACATTGACACTGGAAGTGACCTCACTTGGGTCCAATGTGATGCACCCTGCACTGGCTGCACTGTGGTAATTAAATTTATCCAGAAAATTGTAATTAATATAGCATATAATGACAGTCTTCTTTTCGCATCACACATATTGCTTTTGCGCCTTTGTGATTTATCTGTGCCTTCTTTCTGCAGCCTAAAGGTCAACTTTACAAACCTGCAAAAAGCAGCATTGTGCCTTGTAAGGATCCCTTATGTGCTGTAATTAACGGAGGACCTCCCTGCAAGAACCCAAATGAACAATGTGACTTCAAGATTCAGTATGCTGATAGTGGTTCAGTTATTGGGGTGCTGGTCAGAGACTATTTTCCTCTACGCTTCATCAATGGCACTCTTCCTCGCCCCAACTTGACCTTTGGGTGTGTGTATATAATCTGTTTCTTCAATTACAATTGCAAGGAACTTTGATTCCTAACCTCTGGGCTGCAGGTGTGCATATGATATTGATCATGGTCAACACAATCCTCCTCCCACTACCGGAGTCCTTGGACTTGGCAAGAGTGCAGCAAGCATCTCCTCTCAGCTTGGTGCCGCAGGACTAACACAAAATGTAATAGGTCAGTGTTACAGTGCAAAAGGGGGAGGATTTCTGTTCATCGGAAATGATCCTGTACCTTCTTCAGGAGTCTCTTGGGTACCAATGTTGCAGAACACCATGGCGTAAGCCTTATCAGATTCTTTTCTTTGTCTTTTGTAGCAATTCTGAGTTGCTTCTATAACATATGTAGCATGCTTGCTGATTTTATTTCAGTAAACATTATGCCTCGGGTCCAGCAGATCTTCTCTTTGGTGGAAAGCCTACTGGTTTAAAGGGTCTTAATGTAATCTTTGACTCTGGCTCTTCCTTCACTTACTTCAATTCTGCAGTCTATGAAGCCATACTCAACCTGGTGAGATATAATCATAGAACTGTTCCTCAATGAAATTCAGTATGACACGTAACAGGAACTCATTGCTTACTTCATAATTCAGTTGAGCAAGGATCTAAATGGGAAGCCAATAAGACAAGTACAAGATCCAGCACTTCCTGTCTGCTGGAAAGGCGCAAAACCTTTCAAAGTCCTCTCTGATGTTAAGAGCTATTTCAAGCCCTTTACACTGAGCTTCACAAGCACGAAGAATGCACAGCTGCAACTAACACTTGAAAATTATCTCATAATTTCAGTGAGAACCTCCTGGCACCTTTAATTTTCAGCAATGAGACAGTAAAAAAAAAAGGAAATCAAGGAAACAAAGGATGCAAGTAGTTGATAACAAATCTAACGTCCTCCTCTCTTTCAGGAACATGGAAATGCATGCCTGGGAATTTTGAACGGGGCTGAAGCAGGACTGGGAAACTATAATTTAGTTGGAGGTAAGACAAGCTAATACAGAAAAGGTCCTCAACTCATGATCAGTGATTTTACACCCCAATTTTGGGTTTCTTCCCTTTTCACAATCTAACTTGAATCCTTTACCCTTTTTGCTATTCAGACATTTCAATGCTAGACAAATTGGTAATCTATGACAATGAGAGAAAGCAGATTGGATGGACTTCAGCAAATTGCAATAGGATTCCTAAGTCCTGAGCCTCACTTCTCCATTACTATCCGGAAGAAAGCATTGTGAAAGAACAAATAAACGAGTGAATAAAAAAACAAGTCTGTGTCAGCTTCGTGCATAAATGTTTCAGTAAGATCCAGTTTTCAGTCACAGGATGCTTACTGAAATCATTCTTCTGCTTCATTATATATATTCCAGGCAGAAGAAAATGCTTCAAGACAAATTGCTGTTATCAAAAAGATATAATAAGCACTTTCTATGCTTTCTGTTATAAATAATCTAAACATATTTCCATTTACGAATAGGAAAGACGCATCAGCATTACCAGTACTTTAGCTTTTACATAGAATACTAAATTTATAAAGAAAAAAGTTCATCCATCGATGATTCTGGACAAGGAGAATGGAAGCATAATGAATTGGAAATGACAATAATTCTGAATTACTCCAAAGCAAATCACACACTACCTCCCCAATGTTAGCTGCATGACCTCTTGACTCTTTCTTGAATCTGGATTCATGTTAATGTCTCCCCACTGATCTACCCAAAAATTCATGGTGAAGGTTTGAGAAGTACAGTCAGGTCGGCGCCGGTGAGTGAAGGCTTGAGATTCCATAAAGGAATGTTCTTTAGATCTGGGTGGATATGGGTCAGGAGCAGGTTTACGGCTGAGGGTTGATCG